AGGAGTCTGGTTATCATATCTGGTATATTTTTGATGTGCGGTAGCGTTACTAGTGTCCCCCTTGTACCGTGTCTTCTGACTGTCGTTTGTTTTGTAGGCATCGGCAGATGAAACTTCTTGGGTATCCACTGTCAGTAAATACTTTGTGCAGGTGTTTCTCTTCCATTCTCCGGAGTTCTGGGGTGTTGCAGTGGCTCATTTAAATAGTGTCTTAGTGTACCCCTGTTTGGATATAGTGGGGTGGTTGCTGTTGAAGTTAAGGGTTCGGTCCGTCTATGTGGCCTTCCTGTGTACTCGGGTTCGGAATTCGCTGTTAATAAGTCTCTCTACCATTACATCTAAGAATGGGAGCAGTTTGTTGTTTTCTTCCTCTCTAGTGAATATTATGCTTGCAAAGACGTTGTTAACAAGTTAGTGGGTTTCTTCTACTTTTGTGCTTTTGATTATTATGAATGTGTCATCCGTGTATGTTATCCACAGTTTCAGTTGGATTATATTAAGGGCTGTGCGTTCCAGTCTCTGCATCACTGCTTCCATGATGAGGCCTGAGATGGGTGATCCCATTGGTGTGCCATTGATCTGTTTGTATATTAGGCCGTTGAATGTGAAGTGCATTGTGAGGCATAAATCTAGTAGTTTCAGTAATCTGTCCTTGCTGATGTTATTGTTGGTGTTCAGGGTCAGTGCTCCTCGTCCTTCTAGTAGTGTGGCTAGTGTCTCTCTGGCTAATGGTGTGACAACGGGTGTAAATAGTGCTGTAACATTGAAGGAGATCATGATTTCATCCTCATTAATTTTCTGTCCCTGAGCTGTGTGAGAAATTCTTGGACTGAATGAATTGAATATGGGGATCTGCTAATCAGGTGTTTAAGTCACCGTTGTAATTCCCTTGCTAGCTTGTGTGTAGGTGTGCCCGGTGAGGAGGCTGTTGGCCTGAGTGGTGTTCCAGGTTTGAGTATCTTGGGGAGTCTGTAGAAGCAGGGTGGGGAGTAGTATTTGAGCCATTTGGTTTCATTCTGATGTAGTCTGTGTTGGTGATCTCTCCTGCGCGTTTAAGTTTGAGTCTCTGGGTTATCCTGTTCTCTAGTTGTGGTGTGGGGTCTGACGACACCTGTTGGTATGTGGCTGTATCTGCGAGTAGTGCCTGTGCTTTCTCAATGTAGCCTGTTCTGTTCAGAACTGCAGTCATTCGTCCTCTGTCTGCTGGTAGGATTGTGATGTTTTTATCCTTCTTCAGTCCTTCTAGGGCCTTTCTCTCCACTGTGTTGAAGGTGTCTGATTCATGTTTACAGTTATGTGCTGGGATGGCTGTTTGTCTGATGGCCTATTGAATTCATCAGTGAGTCCATTGGTTTTCAGTGTTGACTCTAGTGCTGCTAGGAAGTCCATTTTACTCGCATCCTTGTGGTTGTAGTTAAGTCCGCATCTCAGACTGATCAATGGCACACCGATGGGATCACCCATCTCAGGTCTCATCACGGAAGCAGTGATGCAGAGACTGGAACGCACAGCCCTTAGTCTAATCCAACCAAAATGGTGGATAACATATGTGGACAACACATTCATAATAATCAAAAGCACAAAAGTATAAGAAACCCACCAACTTGTTAACAACATCTTTGCAAGCATAAAATTCACTAGAAAGGAAGAAAACAACAAACTGCTCCCATTCTTAGACGTAATGGTAGAGAGACTTATTAACAGCGAATTCTGAACCCAAGTATACAGGAAGGCCACACAAGGATCAAATCCTTAACTTCAATAGCAACCACCCCACTATATCCAAACAGGGGTGCACTAAGGCACAATTTAAATGAGCCACTGCAACACCCCAGAACTGCGGAGAATGGAAGAGGAAAACCTGCACACAGTATTTACTGACAGTGGATACCCAAGAAGTTTCATCTGCCGATGCTGACAAAACAAACGACAGTCAGGAGACATGGTACAAGCGGGACACTAGTAACGCTACCCTACATCAAAAATATACCAGAAATGACAACCAGAGTCCATAGACCGCTTAGGATCATAATTGCACACAAACCTACATCAACACTGTGTTAAGTGTTATCAAAGACCAAAGACCCCATACCGACAATAAACAGGACTAATGTGATATACAGAATCCCATGCAGCAAGTGCAATAAACACTACGTTTGACAAATGCGGATGAAACTGAATACCAGGATACATGTACACCAGCTGGCACTAAAAAGGCACGACCAATATTCAAGACAACAAGGTGCAGGGCTGGATGAACACAGCAGGCCAAGCAGCATCATAGGAGCAGAGAGGCTGACGTTTCGGGCCTAGACCCTTCATCAGAGGACCAATATTCACTTGTCTCGATGCACACAGACAATGAAGGCCATCAGTTTAACTGGTACAAAGTGACTATACTGGGTCAAGTGGACAACAGACATGCAAGGGACTTTCCAGAGTCCTGTTTCTCAACACGAGACTTCATTAACAAACACATAGAAATAGACCCTGTATACAGACCGCTGCTAAAACAACAGAACCGGAAGTGAAAAGACCCACCACGCCAGAGAATCATATAAATGCGGAACAGAGCAGAATACCAATGCTTTGATTAGAGGTCGTACTGATGATGTTGCCTAGAATGGTAACGAAATGTCTGCACATCACGAAACAACTGGCTCAGTGAGCTAACAAACAACTGCATCTACAACCCAAGCTACAAATTTTTTGCTAAGACCTTGAAAAAGGAAAGTTAAAATCCCCTACAATTTCATCCCTCTTATTCTTACAGCTATCTGCAATCTCCCTACATATTTCCTCCTCAATTTCCCACTGTCTATTGGGGAACCCATAGTACAATCCCATCAAAATGATCAGCCCCTTCTTATTTCTCAGTTCCACCCATACAGCTTCAGTGGATGATCCTCCAGGAATATCCTCTGTAATAACTGCCATGATGTTTTCCCTAATCAAAAACACCACTCCCCCCTCCCCTCTTGTCTCCCTTTCCATCCTTCCTGTAACATCTACACCTTGGAACGTTAGCCTGCCAGTCCTGAGCCATGTTTCTGTAATAGCAATGATATCCCAGTTCCATGTTCCCATCCATGGCCTGAGTTCATCTGCCTTACCTGTCAGGCCTCTTGCATTGAAATAAATGCAGTGTAATTCATCAGTCTTCCCTCATTTCCTGCTGTGCTTTTGCCTGCCTGGTTTATTTAACTTGCTCTCTTTAACTTCTGTACCAGCTTCATCCTTCTCTTTTGTATCACAACAACCTAGGATCCCACCCACTAGTTACAGCCTCCTGAGTAGCTCTAGCAAATCTCCCCACCAGGATATTAGTCCCCCTTGAGTTAAGGTGCAACCCACCCTCTTGTACAGGTCCCTTCTGCCCCAGAAGAGATTCCAATGATCCAAAAACCTGAATTCCTGGCCCCTGCACCAGCTCCTCAGCCACGCATTCATCTGTCTTCTCCTCCTAATCCTACTCTCACTAGCTTATGGTACTGGGAGTAAACCAGAGATTTTCACTCATCAGGTCCTGTTGTTTAACCTCCTGCCTAACACCTTATATTCACTGTGCAGGACCTCCTCCTTTTTTCTACCTATGCTGTTGGTACCAATGTGTAAAATGACCTCCAGCTGCTCATATTCCCCTTCAAGACACTGAACAACCCCAGCCCCACCAACAATATCTAAAATGGTATACTTGTTTGAGAGGGAGATAGCCACAGGAGACTCCTACATTAGCTGCCTACCTCCCCTGGCCATCACAGAAACCAGCATTCTTACCTGGTCTTTCTTACACATGACTCCAGGCCCACAGCAATGTGGTTGACTCTTAACTGACCTCTGAAATAGTTTAGCCAGCCATTCAGTTGTAACAATCGATAGAAAGTCTCAAAAATATAACCGGAAACAAAATGGCAAAATGCAGGCCTGTTAACCCTGCAAAATCCTCCTGACTAACAGCGAGGGGCAAAAGACAGAATCAGGAGAGCTGTCTTACAGACTCATCAAACAACAGTCTGACATAGTCACACTCATGGAATCATACCTTATATACAATTATGCAGCCACCACCATCACCATCCCTGGATATGTTTGTCCCACCAGAAGGACAGATCCAGCAGAGGTGGTAGCACAGTGCTGGAAAGGTGCCGGGGGTGGTGGGGTTAGTGAGAAGTCTGGAGCAACACCTCATATTCCACCTCGGGAGCCTACAGCCCAACGGCCTAAGTGTGAATTTTACCAGTTTCAAAATCTCCCCACCCCCAGCCTCAACCCATGACCAACCCTCCCTCTCATCCCCGCCACCTTGACATGATATGACATGTCCATCTTCTCTCCCACCTATCCACCCCACCCATCCCACTGACCAATCCCCACCACTGCCTACCTGCACTCACCTATCACCATCCCAACTACCTTCCCCAGCCCCACCCCTCCTCTCCATTTATTTCTGAGCTCCCTCCCCCCTCCCCGTTTCTGAAGAAGGGTCCTGACCCGAAACGTCAGCTTTCCTGCTCCCCTGATGCTGCCTGGCCTGCTGTGTTCATCCAGCTCTACACCTTGTTATCTCTGACTCCAGCATCGGCAGTTCTTACTACCTCTGAATGAGTTACAACCCACATACTGCTCCTTCAAATATTGAGTAATCAATAAAAGTTGGTAAAATGAATACATTACTGTGATTTATGATTCAGTACATTGCTATAAAGCGGAGAAATTATTTTTACTTCTAATAAATTAATTTAACGTTTGTGTCCTGCAAATACATTCCATTTGATCTTTGAGGTTCATACAACAGATTCCTGTTTCACTATTTTATAGTTTTTCTGCTGCCCTGTCTTCAGTCAAATTCAACTGATATACACTGATCAATTTTCAAAGTTGAGTGGACTAGCTGTTCCCACATATTTGTCAACATTACTCAAGTTGAAGGATCTATTATCTGTGCACATGTTAATTTGAGATTTGATTGAACTTTCAGATTATTACCACTAAGGGTCGTCATGACAATCTCTTACACACTGAAAGTTGCAGATGCTCGATTTGCTGGATTCTCCAAACTTCTCTTTCGTTGGAAAGGAAGTATTTACAAACTGTTATACAAGGAATTCATTGTGTTCATCAGTTTATATTCAATATTCAGTGTAATGTACAGGTAAAAGACATCTTTGCTTTGTAATTTTATACACGCCTCCTCACTGAAGTTTTCTCTTGGTCTATAGTGTAAATGCCTCCCCTTTCAGTTTGGGATCCTATTTCCTTTAAAAACCATTCACATCACACGCTCTTCCAAATACCCCACAACTCCACATTGTTTCCTTGACCTTGTCACCTCCCAGAACCATGTTCATCTTTCCTGCAATTCCTCATTTAAATCCATCCAATTAAGTTGCAACTTTTCAAGCCAATATTCTAAATGTTATTCTGTGGCCATCTATCATACCTGGCATTGCTGAGACTGTCTGTCAAGGAGTCTCCTGGGGATGGATGGAATGATAATGCAAGGCAGATAGAATTGCACTAATTTTTATTCCATCTTGAACTATTCTTTCCATGTTTCAATTTTCACACCACAACCACCTTCATGACACTTGCGGCCACTTTTAACATGGTCACTTCCAACCCGATCATCCTCCTCCAAATTATCTCCTCCTTGGTGGAACTGCCATTGATTCTTATTTATAAAAATGTTGGCCGACCTCTCCTGGCAATGTGTCTGCGTACATAGCTCTGCACCAACTTTGAGAGTTTCACAAGGATTCATCATGTAAGCTTCCCACTTCTTCTATAGTGAGGTCCACCACCATCTTTATGATAGCTCAGCTACTCCTGAAAGCCTGGCCCATGTCTTTGCCACCTCTCGACTCCCAGTGGTGAGGATGACATAGCTGGTCTACAGAGGAACATAGACAGGTTAAGCATTGGACCAACACTTGGCAGGTGGAATAAAATGTAGGAAAATGTGAGGTTACGCACGTTGGCAGAATTAATACAACAGCTGAATATTATTTAAATGGAGAAAGACTGTAGAAAGCTACAGCACAATGTAATTTGGGGGTCCTCATGCAAGAGTCACAAAAAGCTAGCATACATGTTCACAAACGATAGGGAGCACAAATGGAATGTGGGCTTTTATTTCAAAGGGAATGGAGAAGAGAAATAGGGAAGTCCTGCTAAAACAGCATATGGCACTATTAGAACATACTTGGATTACTGTGAATAGTTTTGGTTTCCTTGTCTGAGGAAAGATGTAGATAGAGACAGTCCAGAGAACGTTCACTAGGCTGATCCTGGGTATGGAGAAGTGGTTGAATAGGTTGGGCCTGTACTCATTGGAATTTAGAAGAATGAGAGGTGACCTTATTCAAACATACAAGAGTCACAGGGGACCCAGCAGGGTGGATGCGGAGAGGTGGCTTCACTTTATGGGAAAAGTTAGGACCAGATGGCAGAATCTCAGCGTGAAGGGTTGCCTATTTAAGACAGAGACAAGAAGGAGTCTCTTCTCTCAGAGGACAGTGAATCAGTTGAATTCTTTTATCGCAGAAGACTGTACAGACTGGATTATTAAGTATCTTCAAGGCTGTGTTAAACAGAATTTTAATCCATAAGTTATGGGAAAAGTGACAGGAGTTGAGGACTGAATGGCAGAACAGATTGATGGGCTGAATGGCCTATTTCTGTTTCTACATCTTATGGTATTACTGCAGTGGCAAAAATCTGATGACTTTGCAAAAACACAGGATTCAACTTAGAGCTATCTTAGTGTGAATGACTAGGACATTTTACAGATCACATTATCACAGACTTGTCTCTGTGATAAGATTCTTGCCTTTGAGTGAGATGTTTGTGGGTTTGAATCCCATTCCAGAAACTCAAACACATATAAGATGTGATGGTACTTCAGCGCAGCACTGACTGAGTGCTACACCATTGAAGGTTTCTCTTTTAGACCAGGGTCCTGCCTCCCCTCTTCAGTGGTTATAAATTACGCCATGCCACTATTTGACAAAGAGTAGGGAATTCTCCCTTTGTGCTGGCAAATATTTATCATGGCACCAATCTCACTAAAACAAATTATCAGATCAATATCACATTGTTGTTTCTGGAACTTTGTGACTGCATTTCCTTTAATAACTGTACTGCATTGGTTTTAAAGTGTTTTCTGATGTCCCGATGTCTACAGATTATGATAAGATCCTCCACGAAAATATTCCCTGCAAGATTTGTAAAATGAACTATATATTCCCATAACTTGGTGATTGGCTGATTTTAGTGAACTTATATTCAAAAGTGACAATGTGAACCTTCAGTAAATGAAACTGTACATTGGTATGTGAATAATTGCCCAGTGTCTGAGCATATTTCTTTTGCTATTTCTTGTAGGTATTTCCTATCACATGAACAGAAGATTCTCTTTGAGAATGTGGCTACATATTGTGACAAACAGACCAGTCTTATCCCAATGTCATTTGTTTTAGGTCTGTAACTAAAGCTTCAGAATGTTATAAAACTATTAAGGAATTCCAAACTGTCACTAACAACTTCCATTTATGTAGTGCCAATAACATAGCAGTGTGTCTCCTGAAACTACATTATGTCCACCATCGTGCTCCATTCATCATCTATATCCTACCTTTCAGCATCAGTACCTACACGATTCTCATCTTCAATTTTCATCACATTTGTACTGCACATTACTGGCAAATTCTTGCTCTTACATTCCTTCTGGCACTGAAATATAATGAATTTCATATTTCTTCTGTTCGAGCACTAGATTTGCCTAATAAATAGCTTCCTTCTGAAATTCTTTTTTAAAAACCAAATTGTCATGGCTCTTTCCACTGTCCTAACATTGAAAGAATCCTACTCTGATCCCTTTAACTCATCCCTTGTGATCTCCTCCATGAATTTCTTTACTTCCTATCCACATTTTCCACTTCCAAAGAATCCTGAGGTGTTCATGTAGGTAAAGAGCAGAATACTAATGTAAGTTGTTGGTGTTTATATTATGAACATAAAAGAAAGGGCAATCATTTCCATGACTGTTCCCAGGGTGTGAGTCAGTGTGGTGTAGAGTCAGTGCAATTAAGAAGGGAGTTCTGGGATTTTTGACGCAGTGAAAGAACAATGATATAGTCCCAAATCGGGATGGAGTATAGCCTGCAGAGGAACTTGTGAGAGATTGTGTTCCCATGTATCTGTTACCCTTGTCCTTCAAGTGGTGGAGAGTATGGTTTTGATAGGTGCCTTGGTATGGAGCTAACTATGGAGCCTTAGTAAGTTAAAGTACATCTTGTAAATGGTACACAATACTGCTACTGTGTCAGACCATGGGAACAGGAGGAGGCTGTTCAGCCCCTCGAGCTTACCCCACGATTCAGTAGGATCATGCCTGATCTGACATTCCTCACGCCCTGTTTCCTGCCCTTACCCCATCACCCTTGAATCTTGTACTGATCAAGAATCTATCTATCTCGCCCTTAATTCTACGCAAGGACTCTGCCCCACTGCACCCTGTGGCAAGGACTTCTAAAGACTCTCAATCCTCTGAGAGAAGAAATTCCTTCTGACCTCAGTCTTAAATTGGTGTCCCTTTATTCTGAGATTATGCCTACTGGTCATAGTCTATCCCATGAGGGGAAACATCCTGTCTGCATTTACACTGCCAAACCCTTTAAGAATTCTTTATGTTTCAACAAGATTACCTCTCATTCTCCTAAACTCCAGTTAGTAGAGTCTCAATCTGTTTGGTCATAAGGTGATCCTTCCATACTGAGTGTGTGGTGGTGGAATCAGAGAATGTTGTTGGTATTATGTGATGTGCCAACTAAGCAGAATAGATGATGTCAGGTTCTTGAGTGTTTTGGACCTGTATTCATCTAGGCAAGTGGACAGTATTCCATTACACCCCTGACTTATGCCTAATAGAGAGTGGACAGGCTTTGAGGAGTCAGAATGAAAGTTACTTGCTACAGAACTCAGAACTTCTGACATGTGGTTGAAGCCACAGTATGTTTATAGCTGCTCCAGGTCAGTTTCTGGTTAATGGATATTAATTCTATGTGGGAATTTTCCACCAGGAGAGCTGGTGAGAATGAGATCAACGAGTGACTTTCTTCGCTCTTCAGCAACTAAACAGTAGAGATGTTCTTTAATGGGCATTAAAGGGCTTCAACTCATAGAATTACAAAAGATAGGAGCAGGAGTAGACCACTCAACTGCTCTCCATGCTGCCCTCCCTCCATATCCCTTAATCCGTTTAGCCACAGAGCTATAGCTACCTCTTTCTTAAAAACGCATGTTTAGGCCTCAACCACTTTCTGTGGTAGTGAATTCACAGGCTCACCACTCTCTGGGTGAAGACACTTCTTTTCATCTCAGTCCTAAACTGCTTACCCGTTATCCTTAAACTCGTCCACCAAGGGCAACATCGTTTCTGCATCTACAATGTCTAGTGCTATTAGGATTCTATAGATTTTGACTTTTGACTCATTCTTCTACATTTCAGTGAATATAAACCTAACTGACTCAATCTCTCCTCATACATCTATACTGCCAGCTCAGGAATCAATTTGGTAAACCATTGCTGCAATCCTCTATAGCAAGAACACCCTTCCTCAGATAAGGAGACCAAAACTGCATACAATATTCCAGGTGCCCCGTATAATTACAGCAAGACATCTTTGTTCCTGTACAATAATCCTCTCACGATGAAGACCAACATACAGCTTGCCTTTCTGACTGACTGCTTCACCTGCATACTTTCTTTCAGCGACTGATGCACAATGACAGCCAGGATTCATTGAACATTCCCTGCTCTCAGTCTACAGCTATACAAATAATAATCTGCCTTCCTATTTTTGCCACCCAAGTGGATAACCTCCTATTTATTCACATGATACATGTTATATCTGCCATTCATTTGCCCACTCAGTCAGCCTGTTCAAATCTCTGCATCCTCCTCACAGCTCGACCTTTCACTAAGCTTTGTGTTATCTGTAAATTTTGAAATATTACATTGAGTTTCCTCATCTAAATCATTAACATATATGATGAATAGCTGGGGCCTTAGTACCATTCCCTTCACCTAGAGATCAGTGCAAAACTCACCATCTCCCCAATCACCTGCTTCCCCAGTGGGTGAGAAAATTGTGTAGCTGTTGCAATGGAAAGTCATAGCGATCTGCCTCCTGAGTTAGGGATGCCCCATTAATTGTCAAATTTGAGCCAATCGGGACCATGGATAGCAGGCAAGGGGGTGTCTCCTGAAAGCCAACCATTGTACTCATTCCACTGATCTCTCTCCCAACAAACCCTGTCTCACACTTTCTCACCACTGGATTCCCCGAGGAACAGTCTTTGATTAGCTGGCAGCTTCTTGTGATCCAGGTCACGAATGTCAAAGCCTGTGATAGGGCGAGATACTCACCTCACTTACCTGTCAGCTGTTAATGAGCTGAACAGTGGGAAATCCAGTGGGTTACCTTGCTGGTGGGGGCGGCACATAAGTTGCCATCTAACATGCTTGCCCCATTTGTAGAAGATTTATCATAAAATCATGCCCCATTTGTCAGAATAAAGCACTAAGAAGGCACTAGAAAATGCTGAAAGTAAGTATCAGATTAGTTAACGTATTGCTTCACCCACGAAACTTTTCTTATTTGAAAAGGAGAAAGCAACTACTTGGGTTAATCTTTGATGTGAAGCACTTTGTGATCTGCATTGCTACACCGGAAAAAAATCAACAGATTCTGAAGAATCCTTCATGCCAAAAATGGACACGTCTTTACATGGGATATGACCAGGTGACATCAAACATCAGATGTTGGGCATAGCCAGCAACACGCGCATCCCATTGAATGAATAAAAAGAAAGATAGCTTGTGAAGACTGGACATTATTTGCTAATGAATTGATTGGTTTTCAGTCAATGCACACTAATCGATTCAGTGTTTCTCAGAATGCTGTGGAACTCATTGTCACAGCGGGCTATGGAGGCCAAGTCATTGAGTGTATTTAAGACAGAGGTAGATAGATTCTTAACTAGTAAGGGGATCAACAGTTATGGGGAGAAGGTAGGAGAATGGGGTTGAGAAACATACCAGCCATGATTGAGTGGCAGAGCAGACATGATGGGCCAAATGGCCTAATTCTGCTCCTATATCTTATCGTTTTATTATCTAGCCATTGGAAGAACATAGAGTCAAAGAGTCATAGAGCTGTATTGCATGGAAACAGTCCTTTCAGTCCAACACGTCCATTCCGACCAGATATCTTAGATAAATCTAGTCCCATTTGCCAGAAACCCTGAAGAAAAGACCTTGTCCATTTACTCTATCCATGTCCCTCATGATTTTATAAACCTTTATAAGGGTAAAATGATAAATTCATGGCAATTTGCAACATGTCCACACAGCTCATTGTAAAAGTAGTCAACAAATGGTGTGATATCAGTCAGACAAATAATTGTATCCAATACAAATAACTGAAGTGTAATTATACCTGACTAATGTGTCATTGCAACACCCTCACAAACCAATTCTGAGTGTGCACTAATAGTAATCTGTGGCTCTTAACCTTCACCTGGTAGGTTTTTACGTAACACTTATCATTAACCGTTGGTGGAACCAATACACGAATATCCCACTTCCGGATCAGCTGATGTGTGTGGTGTCCAGTAATGTTCACGGCGTTGATGAAAGGGGCCGGATGCTGAGGCGAACACTGATTCGATACGCCAATCTCTCTGCAGTGCTCATTCTCCGCTCCATCAGCACAAGGGTCCGAAAGAGATTCCCCTCATTAGAGCACGTTGTTGAAGCAGGTAAGGTGACCCATGCTATCAATTGATATACACGTGAATATTTTACCATAGGATACATCAGACAGAATGTCAGGACAAACATACTTCTTTGACTGCATTAGTGATATTGGTACAACCATATGGATTGACAGCTGAGGCTTCTTAAACTCCATCTGGTTGTGCAGCCATTGGCATTACAGTCAGCAAGACATTCGTGCAGAGGGGGCATCACAGCTGAAGCATCTGTGTTCTCCTTCAAGATGCTCATGTGGCAGGCATCAGGACAACTTGCAGGAGTATTCACTTGGGCTGAATCCCTCTCCCATGTTAACTGTTGTGTGTCCAAGTCTGCTTTGTGTCTATTGACCAGATATCAACCATCACTGAACCACTGGCCTCTCTCATGCAAAAATACTCACAGTGCACTGCAGCCATAATATTGTAAAATATTCCCTCCACCCATTCTCAAACATTTGACCATTTTATTGGTCTTTTCAAGCTCCACAAGAGTATAATAAAAATATTTTATTGTAAAGTATTGGAGAGCAATAGCTATTTGTATGAAAAGATATTTCCACCGAAAATATGAACAAGGATGCATGAAAACTTAAATGTACCCAAAAGTGAAATGTGCACACAAATCAGAAAATCATGTATTAGGTGGTTATATTACATTATTTTGTTATTGGGACAAAAAAATATTGGAATTTAGTTGTGCCTTAGATGGGGGCAAATATTCCGGTTCCTGTAGCATTTGATGGACACAGTGAGAGCAGGAAGTCAGTTGTGAAGGGTTCACCCAATATTAACTAATTGAAACTGGTGGAACATTCTGCAGATTCTCATGGGTTTGAGCTCGCTCCTACTGATCTTCCTGCATTTATTGTACAAGATGACCTAATACTCCCAAACACAGGAAATAACAGTTTGACTCTTTGACTTCAAACAATCAATCACATGTATGTTTGTGGTTTCTTTTTGCAGGTTTTATGACCAGAGATGAACTGAAGAAATTTGAAAGCCTTTACTCTGATTTTAACAAGTATTGGATCCCGTGCGTGTGGTTTACAAACCTGGCAGCCCAGGCAAGGAGAGAGGGCAGAATCAGAGATGATGTCGCTCTAAGACTATTGATGGATGTAAGCTTGATGCATTAGTCCCTCACTGGGAAACTATAAAAGAGTGGGCAGGTCAATATTAAAGTGCAAATGGCTCCTAATGCAGTACCACATATAGTACAAGATGCTTCATTGGAACACCTACTGTGGGGCCAAATAATATGATGAGTCGCAGGCTATCTGAAGAGGTTTAGGCCCCTCACTCCTTTAATTGTCAGGTATGAAGGCCTGAAGCCTTTTGCCTGCTTAACATACTCAGCAGACTTCGACTGACCAGTGCAATGAATTGCGAGAAAAGATCAGCCAATATTTTATTGAATGGCAGGGTCAAGGAGTCAGATAGCCTACTCCTGCTCCTATTTCTTATGTTCTTATACTGACAAATTAAATGCAGTACTGATTGCATCCACAAAAAAATATTCATTAGAATCTTCCCTATAATCCTTCTGTGATGTAATATATTATTCTTTAACATAGCTGGAGAATTTTAAAGCAGCAATCTAGTCATGCATTCCAAAAACTATTTGCCTTGCGCTTCTCTTCTTATTTCTTCTCTAAGGAAGGCACTGGCACACAATGGGACTTGCAGTTAATGTTGAAATGCTGGCTTGTGTTTCCCATCCCCCTATCCAGCAAGTCATGAGCATTGGGCCAGAGAAAAAAAACTATCTGAATGAGCTGAGTCCACATGAATACGTAAGGTCAGCTGTTCTTTATACAGGGACAGAGTGGCAGGACTGCATTACTGGCAAGGATGTGTTAAAGCACTCGATCATAGATGTCACTGCACAGCTACTGTAGCTTGAAACAACTGTGAATTTCAAGCTGCATCACAAACTCAATAATCCACACTATTGGGTTTATATTGTAGTTATCAGTTAACAAAAATCTTTTCCTTTCTCATTTGCAGGAATTGAATCAACACCGGGCAAAATGCAGTCTGTTATTTCACTATGACTGGATCAGTATCCCTTTGGTGTACACTCAGGTCAGAATCTTGAAAAGATTACCTTTATCTATCTACATAATGAAGGTGCCAGCTTCACTCTTTGATTTGTGCTGACTTAGCAGATCTCAGCTGGAACAGCTCAATGGAACTATCTCAGTCTCAATACTGGGATAGGCTTCAGGATTCAAGGTTAAGCAGAAGAAAATGAGCTAAGGATCCCCTCCTGACCTTTAATCAGATAGCCCCTAAAAGTAGTCCTATAGTAAAATGCATTCTCAACTTATTTTGTGATGCACAGGAACTTGTTTTAAGTTTTCAGTTTTAAGACCCTTTGAATTCTTTTGCATGACCGATAACTTAAAAAGGGGTTGACACATGCATCACTGCTCAGCTAAGAGTCATCATTGTCCCATAGTCCCACCTAGGCTGAGTAAAACAAAGACTGGGCTCTTTCAACATTTAGCTGCAGTCAATATTCACACATGAATAACAGCCAACTTGAGAGAAGTGGAAAGAAAATCAGCGAGGAAAAGAAAATTAAAGGAAAAACATCAGTCATTAACATTTTCTGGGTTTTTTGGCCAAAATTTCATTCAATTGTTGACTAAATTTTCTTCCTATCAGATGGGGAAAAGAACTTCTCACTGATGCTTGCAATGTACTTCATAGTTGTTTCTCTGAAATCAGAAATTTACTGTGTGGAAAAATCTTCGGCAGCATATATCACCCACTGACACTGCACTAGTTCAATTTGCTGGATTACCAGAGCAACCCCATTTTTTTGTGTGGGCGTGTGTGTCACAACATTTTGAATTTGATGAAGCAGTTTGGTGCTTTCAGTCAATTTTAATTCTGTGCTGTGACATTTGATTTGCACTGGATAAAAATTCACCTCCAAACATTCCCTGAAACTCAGGCATTTGACACAGGAATAGAACAGCTAACATCCTTTCAGAAGTATTTACACAGTCTGCATTCCATGATTGATAACTGATGCTTCTGTCTTACCTCTCCCCAGGTGGTTACTATTGCAGTCTACTCCTTCTTTGCCTTCTGTCTGATTGGACGTCAGTTTCTTGGACGAAGGCCAGGCTACGAAGAAGATAACATAGATTTTTATGTTCCTATCTTCACTCTACTGCAATTCTTCTTCTATGTGGGTTGGCTTAAGGTCAGAACTTCGCTCTGAATTGGACACATTGTGTTTAATGGGCCAGATTATAGCAAATCTGGATGGTATTTTTACTTGCATGAATGTTATGCAGGGTTACATTCTTGGGCTGTCCTATTTTTCATCTATATGTTGCTCCATTAGAAATATATTACTCATAGTTGTGAGACAAGTCTGTTTATATATGTCAACAATCCTAACTTTTCCTTCTGATTACCTTCCTATATCAAACATCTGACTGACAATGCTGGAAGACAGTCTATCCAACATTAAGTTGAACCTTGCAGCTCACTACTAGCAGGACTGAAGCCACTCTGTTTCGCTCCCACCAGAGGCTCTGGTTGAGAATGAATTTGTGCGCATGAAAGCTCTGTATCCCTACATCCAGTCCAGCAGCACAACTGCCAAATTTTGCCTCAAATTCCTCAGTTTTATCTCATTTCCAGCTTGCTAAACTCATTCACACATTTGTTACTCCCTCAATGCAGTTTCCTGACTTCCTCTGAGGTAAACCCGTACTCATCCAAAATTTCTCTTCCACATTTTAACCTGCAGATCTTGCAAGACCTTATGAATTCCACTTTTAATAATTCCACCTCATCCATTACTCTTCTACGTGGACGCAATTCTATTAAATATTCAGTTGATTCAGAAGTGAATCCTTGCCACTGCAAGTCTTGTCTTGGTACATCAATTCTAAAATCCTCAAAACTTCAAATCCCTCCACAGATCTGGCTCTTTTCTACCTCTGCAACGTCTTCTACCTTTCCTTAATGAACTACCATGCATATCCAATCTCTTTGCTTCACATTACACAGTGGCTACATTTCAAAGATACTTCATTGGCTATGAAATGATTTGAGGCATCTTGAGATAATAAAAGGCACTATGTAAAGTGCATGTTTTTCTCAACAGTGGAGGAAGGGCTTCAGACATTTTGTCACACATTCTGAAACTCCCTCTAAATCCCTTTGTTTTTCTATACTTCCTGCCACCTTTAAGTGCTTCCTTAAAGCCATTCTCTGTTTGCAATCACCTTTCCCTAACCTTCCTCTTCTACTTTTGCTCAGGTTTAAGTCCAACTATGGAGCACTTTAATATACTTTGCTGCAACAGTGCAGTTATTGATTTTGTACTATCATACATCAGTACTCACAGAGAGATAGGAAATTAGCAGAAACGAACAAAGGTTAAATTAGCAAAGCAATGCAGACGGTTTCATCGTGACGTTTTTTGTTAATCAGGTAGCCGAACAAATCATTAATCCATTTGGAGAGGATGACGATGATTTTGAAACAAACAAGTTGATTGATCGCAATCTTCAGGTACATTAATATAACGATGTTGGATCATTAACTGCTGCAAATGAGGCAAGTGATGATTTCTTTGAAACTTACTTGGATTTAGCTCCTCTGTTCCTATTTGGGGCAATGGTCAACAAGACTCTGTCACCAGTTCTGGTCCATTGCAACCCCTTTCACTCCAGGCCATGTGGTGACCTGCTTTTGGAGATCTCTCTCAATTTATTTGGCTCTGTATTCTTTGGCTGGCCCTGTCTTCTTCCCCACCTGATAGTGTCCATACAAGTACCACTCAGGTGGGACATGTATTCTGCCTCCTGGACCTACACATATATACTCAGTCATATCTCTGCCTTGATGTCCTGAAGGTGCCTCTGCCCACTTCTTCATTTGTCAATCCAAAGGCTGCCCAGGATCTTACGTAGGCAACATTGTGTGGAAGATCCAACTTACACCTTTGCTGCTCTCTTCTACATCTCACTGGTATAGATTGCAGTTGGTACTAGGGTGGATGTGTAGAGTCACAGCTTCATGGCCGTGTTGATGGTGTTGGATTACTTCACCATGTGGATTCCTGGAAGACAGATGCTGCTTTACCAATTCTTGTCTGGACATCAACGTCTACATCACTTTCCCGGAAGAGGCTATTTCTTAGGTACGGGGAGTCACTGAGATCCTCCATGTTATTTGCTTAGGCAACTGAATATTAAGCAAAGATGAGAAAATGATGGAAAGCATAGGAGCATGGACGAAGCCACAAAGATGAGCTATATGAGAGAGAGATTGAGAGAGAAAGAGAGAAACACAAACATGGATAGATAGAATTAAAAGGCTGTGGTGGGGTGTGGTCACAAAAAGCAACAAGTTATAACGGCTTAAAGATGCTATACCAAATCATATGGGAACTGACAGAGACAAGAAGCAATACATTTATCACAATCAAAGCCAAAGGCAATAGGATGCTATTAACAGGTGAGAAGCAGAAGGCGAGGTGGCTGTAACTTTTTCGGGAGAGCTTGGCCAACCTCACCCCAGTTCCACTTAAGCTTATTAACTGCAATCACATATCAGCAGCTGAACATTAACCTGGGAGAAGTTACCATGGAAAGGCCTGAAGAACTGTAACAAGCTCCCTACAGTGTGGAAGCAGGCCATTCAGCCCATCGAGGCCACACCAACCCACTGAACAGCATTCCACCCAGACCCACCCCCCTACTCTATTCCTGTAACCCTACATTTTCTCTGGCTAATCATCCTAGCCTGCATATCCCTGGACATTAGGGGGCAATTTAGCATGGCCAAGCCACCTAACCTATACATCTTTGGACAGTGGGAGAAAGCCGGAGTATCCGGAGGAAACCCATGCAGACATGGGGAGAACATGCAAACTCCACACAGACTGTCGCTGGAGGGTAGAATTGAACCTGGGTCCCTTGTGCTGTAAGGCAGCTGTGTTGACCACTGAGCCACATACCACCTTAAGATACCAACATGGAGATACCATAAAGAGCAATTGAGACATGGCAAGAACAATGCCTTAACTGAGGTCACAGATCCGTTCAACAAAGTCATGCAAAAATGATTAAAATTACACAGGATACTTTCCTTAGTTTAATTTCATTTAATTGTTTCCATTTAATCGTTTCCATTAAATCAGTAATTTAAATTAAAGTGCCAGGTTTTTGTTTCTCTCAACTCACCAAAGAGAAAAGGAGGTTGTGCAATGGATATAGTACAGTTTACAGTTTGACTTCAAACGATGGGAGCTCACATGTTACAGATTACCTGCTGAGTTTGGAAGACAAGGTTGTTACATTAGCAGTTTATTACAGTCAGGGTTTGCTGAAATAAAGAAGATCAAATGGAGATTAGATGTAAAACAAACAGGCAAGAATCAGGGATTCCATGTTGCATTGCTATTTGATAATAATGTGTGAATTAAAGGGCTCCTGTGTCAGAAGTCACAGGACATCAGGTTACAGTCCAACTGGTTTATTTGAAATCACAACCTTTCGGTGTGCTGCTCCCAGATCTATGTTAAAACTGTCCGAGATGACTTTACAAAGATATATTCTGCGTGTTGATTGCCCTTATGTAGAGCATAAAATCACAAATATTTAAATATGTACACACAACATTGTGCATTCAGAACTGTGTCTCTGTGTAGGTTTCCTTTCTTTCTGTGGATGACATGTACCAGAATCTTCCACCCATAGAAAAAGATAAGTATTGGAATGAATCCACAGCTCAACCTCCTTACACCATCGCTACTGCCAATGAGACTCACAAACCATCATTCTTAGGATCAACATTTGACATGCGGTCAGTAAAAGTTCTATTTCACATGTTCATGGGAGTGATGCAAGATCATATATTCGTGGGAGTAAGGACAGAAAACTAGTAATAGGAATTAGAAATTAAAAGAAACTAACTAGACTAACTAGCTAATTAGTTCAGATTCCCAAACTGAACAGCAACACCAACTCACTCCAGGCTAAGTGGCATCTTTTTAATTGTCATTTTATTATAATCACCAAAATAATTTAACTTTGTTGCTGTGTGCCATTGAGACATTGAGAGGTTCATGTTCATTTATAGTGTATAATTGATTGACAGCATCTCTCCACACCTAAATTAGGACATACAGTGAAATTTCACTCATACTAGTCTATATAATGCATGCACAGGAATTCAGACAAGAATAAAGAAATAGAAAGTATAAACAGCAGACATTTTTTTGGTCAGCCATATGTACTGAATGAGATTATGTATCATTACCTGCCCTCAGATCCACCCATTAGAGTTTGATAACTTTTGAAGTTCACTCATCTTTGCTTTGTCAATAAATACAGCAGCCAATTTGAACCATGGGCTATCTCCTCTTACATTCACATATTTATACCCAACAGTCCTTTTTAATTCAAATAACGTACTACCAATTTGACAAAGACTGACATACTCAAATGCAATACTACATGCAAATCTTTCAAACAAGAAATCCAGTTAGATCTGATCCCTGTTCTTAACTGCAGGCCAATTTCCATATATGGCAAGAAATAAAGCCCAGAATATTTTAGCATCCGGAACTTGTTTAAATCCACCACCAATTTCCCTGTCAGGTTACTGTTCTCAGTCAGCAGCATGTCAGTGGCTGGAATGTCCTGTTTTTCAATACAGGAGCACTACTGCTTCATCTTTGCCCATGAGGAAAGTGGGATGGTTTTAAAACCTACTTTTTTTGGGTCACTTCTGGCCCTGATCCAGTCCGCAGGAAATGTAGCAGGAAATTCAATACAACCTTTACCAAGCTTCAATTGCAGTTACAGCCAGATGATATCATATTATTAAGGAGCCCACCAGTTCTGGGATGAATTTTCTGGCAGGAAAGCAGCGTTAAAACCCCAAACTGGTCACTTAGCAGAGAGTAATAAACAGAGTTATGCAATTCTCAGTTTCTAGAATCACTCCCTAACAGACTACAGAGATTCCACCACATACTTGAGTCAAGAGAACTTGGTACTCATTCCACGAGTATCACCGACTTACTAATTTCCATTCAGTGCATGGTGAGCTGCAATACAATACAGTCTCCTCCATATTAGGCAAAGTAAATGCAGACTCGGTGATGCTTGTGAATGAACGAAGGTGCCCATCGAAACAGTGACCAGGATGGCTTACCACTTTGTTCCAATCTTGATTCCTGCCTTCGAAACAGTTCTGGTGGAGCTCAACTAAAGCTTCAGGAACGGCACCTCACCTCTTGATTTGATACACGCTTCTAAATTCAAACTTGAGTTCAATAATTTCAGATCAAAAGACTGCTCCCATTTGTTCCTGGATAGCAGGTCCTAATAATTTTCATCTACAGATTTATTCATTTCTTCTCTATTTACAAATCTTTGCACCCATCACTGTTACATTTGTGATTTAATTACTCTTGCTTCTACCCAATAAGTACATCTTTGTTCACTCCACCTTCCACTTCAAAATGGTTATATCTCTAAACTTTTTTCAGTTCTCACAATGTTTTTGTCTCCAACTGCTTCCTGACCTGACCATTTCAGCATGTGCTTATTCCAGGAATCTCAGTAATAGGTTGACATTGTGAATATTTATGGATCTCCTTGTGTGAGAGATTTGGGTTTAACTAGCTCACAGCAAAGTTCCAATTATCTTTATAAATTTGACTTATTATAATTTACGCACTATTGCATAAATCACTCCAACAACCAGGATTTTAACTATTTAATTGGTACAGAATTACAAAAGAAATTCTGAAAAAAAAATCAGTTTCTTTTTCATTACTGGGCCCTGGGCTAAATTCTGAATCAAGTCCCCAGCATTGAACATTTTATGATTCTATACTGGCCACAGCTGCAGAAATCACAAGGGCAGATCATGAGCAAGATGGAAATCAAGAAATAAAGGCAGCTTTCTACCCAAAATAAACGTTTGAAATAACTTTAATGTACATTGTAGTGAATTCTTCAATTTATGCTGTACATGTTTTCACTTTATGTTTCAGCGTAATTGACAGCCCAGTTCTCAACAGGCACGTCGAGCAAGACTCATGCAAGATGCAGACTCCCTTGCTCAATCGTTTCCTTAATGTTGCTGCCTCACCAACTATTAGCCTCAAAAGCTTGGGGAGGAGCAATCGAGGGGTAACTTTATTGTGGAAGCGTGCAGACAGTAGCTCTTCCAACTTCCAACCTAATGAGCTGGATTTGGTGACTCCTATCAACGAAGAGGACTTCAGGTATGACGACCAACACAAGCCCAGTGAATCTTCTTGTACTGGTATCATCACCTTGAAGGTTCCTCAGACTTAAAGCGTCAGAATTTGAAAAGGGAGGACCTCTACTAACTACAATCAAAACCCAGTTAAAAAAAATTAAAATGGTCTAATTTTGACACATTCAAATAAAAGCTTCACTAGATTTCCACTCCTTTGGCAGGTTATAGCTTCCATCTATTGCACTACCTCAAGTGACCGTTGTCTCAAAGAATTTAACTTGGCTTGCCAGAACCAAGTTGCCTTTAACAAATGTGTGCTGGCTGTTAATCTACATACACTTAATTGTTGCATCCTTAAAAGATGAAAACAGATAGAAAATCCTTGTTCTTCTGCACAGATTTAATCATCATTCTTGGAAGAGTGAAAAAATGACATGAAGGTCATTGGAGTTGTTCACTGGTTCAGGGATAGTTAATCCCTGAAATACACCATGAGAAAAATGAGCAGTCAAGGAACATTGTGGTGAAAACCAGCCACTCAAGGGTTTGAAGTTCAAGCAAAGCTTTTATTCAAACACTAAGGATCAAGACCTTGTTTATCCAGAGATGAAAAACCTTCCAAATACAATTCTCAACCAGCACTAATTGTTATCACAAACCAAAACTTGGGTCTACTTGTTTCTATATAAAAGAAAATATCAATCAGCTCACTCATCTCCTTAACAAGATAAACAACTGGGATGGTGACCCCTTATGTCTATACCAATCATGGCACTCCTATCAATTCATCCCATTTTCCAACACTTGGCCTGTACGGCTGCTCTGAAAGGATAGATTGCATGGAACCCAGGGGCAGTTCTTAGATACACAATTGGCTGGATGGTAGTAGGCAGAGTGTAACAGTGAAAGGATGCTTGTCTGACTGGTGGCCTGCGACTTATAGTGCATCTCAGGGATCAGTGCTGGGTCCATTGCAGTTATCTGTATTTGGAGGAGAATGTAAAGACACAATTTGTAGATGATACTAAGAGAGGGTACTGTGGACAGGGAGGAAGATTATCAAAAATTACAGCAGAATCTTGGATCAGCTGGGGAAGTGGGCTGAGAAAAGGCAAATTGAATTTAATATAGATTTGTGAGATGTTGCATTTGGCACTGAATGCAAGGTAGGGGTTTCATGGCAAATGGTAGGGCATTAAGGAGTGTAGAGAAAGAGGGACCTTGGGATTCAGGTACACAGCTCTCCAAAAGTAGTCACAGGTTGAAAGGGCAGGGAAGGGTTTTGGCACATTGCAGTATTGAAATTGGTGAAGTTATATCACAGTTGTACAGGACATTGTGGAGACCGCACTGGAGCGTATTATGCAAAAACACAACTGCAGATGCTGTAAATCAGGAACAAAAACAAAGTTGCTGGACCCTCCAGGATCACTGGACCTGAAACATTAACTCTTCTACTTGGGGTTGGACAAGCCAGACACAATTTTGTGTAGGAGATGCAGGGGGGAAAGAAGGGGAAAAAAAAAACCAATGACTACAGGGTGTCAGTTTAAGGGAATACATGGTAACCTGAGGGCAACTTTTTTTTTAAAACAACAGGCTGGTATGCATTTGGAATCAGCTGCCAGGTAAGTGGTTGAGGTGGGTACACAACCTTTAAAAGGCATTTTGACAAATACATTAATAGAAAGGCTTTAGATGGATATGGGGCAAGTACAGTGAAATGGTTAGCATGGAGAGATTTGTCAGTGTGGACCAGGTTGGGCTGAAGGGCCTGACTGTTGAATGCTGGTGTCTCACTCAACACCTTTGTCACTATCTGTACCCCAGACTTTTGTACACTTCAAATTTCTTGTACTCTTGCTTTGTTCAATTTTCTTTTGGCTTCAGCCAGAAACAGAATGAAGATCACATTATCTTAGTAGATCTGTGTAGTGACCAGGATCAGCAAAATATTTCCAAATTAATCTTCAGAAGTAACACTTTTGGAGCAGGTGGGACTCCATATTCTAGTACCTAGATATTTATGCAATGTTTGGTCAATAATCATTGACTTAAATTAGTAAGGCTTTGAAATATGTTAGCCAACCCTGCATAGTGTTCAACCAGAATTCTTTATTAAGTACCAAGACTAAATACACGCTAGATCCAGCACAAAGTTCTGTAAGAGCATGCACTATGCCTGAAGCTTATACTGACCTCAAATATTCATAGATTAAGACATCAGACAAGTGAATGAAAAATGTTTATTAAGCCATAATCAAACTACATTACAGAAATCTTCAATTCCAACTTTCACTATGAAGATCTGCTCCAAATTCAGATAATCCTCCATTTTCTGAAGGGTCCAAACCCAAAACAGCTTTTCTGCTCCTCTAATGCTGCTAGGTCTGCTGTGTTCCTCCAGCTGCACATCTTGTTATCTCAGAATTCTCAAATGTATATACTGGAAGGACAATCATCCAATTAATACAGTAAACAAATTACATTCTCCATAAATCAATTGCACATTATTTATGTAAGCCCACCATTGTGCAAAGCAGATTTATATTTCCAGACATTATTTCAGATCACATGGTCAAGTGCAGCATGCTTAGGACAAACTTGCATCTGACACCCAACATTTTGGGCATTGTCTTAATTAAATCTATTTCATTACATAATAGATGAAATTTTAAAGTCAAACATATTTCACCAAAACTTCTATTAACATAATTCAGGTGTTTTAATTGTTTCATTTATATTCAGGTACCATTTCCAGGTCTTCAGGTTGTAAGAATAACATCATTACACTTCAGTAGCAGAACTGGATAATGTTGTCATCATTAGATCAGGAAATGGATGATTGCATTTCACATCATCTGTTAGAAACATTACTCACCGCTGATTTCATGCTCCAATTACAGACTCCAGCTCATTCACTTGAAAATGTTTACACCTAGAAGGCATAATAGAAAATGAAATCACAATGGAGAAAAAGGAATTGAAATCTGTAAACTTATAGTCCAATTAACACCCAACTAGTTACAAGGTTAATATCATGGAACAAATTTAAGTAAATCAACAAAACTACACCTAGCGGCCAAATAGACAATCAGTATTCATGCTGATTGTGGGAACTGATGCCAAGGCAAGATGCAATTGCACCATTAAGGCAATTCAAATTCTTTAAATAATTTCACCAAAAGTGGATGGCAAACAGGCTAGAGCATTACTAATAGAAGCCCAACCTAGAGATTTGGTCAAAGTTTTAGCAAAGCCATAACCTGTCAGAATTAGACCTCAAATCCAAATGCTCTATGGGTTTGAACATTTTAAACAGGCCTTCAGATCACTTGTGCATCACCATTAAGTTTCAGAAGCAGAACTGAGCAAATTATCACCACAAAACTGGTTATTTAACAATGTAGCAAAACTACCATAACAAAATACTAGCAGCCAGGTGAGTTCTAGTGCTGACTTGGTTTCATCTTGGTAGTGCAGTCAGAACTCAACCATCTCAGACACCTAAATTTTAAAACTAAAACAAATCAACCCCATCTTGTTGGCTATACTGCACTGATGAGTTAGTTGAGCATGAACAAATTAGGCATTAAGTTATCAAAAAAGCTCACCTTTACTCAACGTCCCAACTTGACATGTTCAATGGCATAAAGTTGTGGGATTGATGTACTCAGAGCTGCAAAATTTAGAGAATAAATCAACTTGCAATCCTTTCACACAGCTGTACATCAAAACAGACTAATACATATCATGTCAGCATATACACAACTTCTGACACTTGCCCAGCAAGGTGAATCTTCAACTAAAGAACTAATCCACCTGAAACTACTGCTTCAACCCAATACTGATGCCACATGCTGAATTGAACCATGTTGGATTTTCAGCATCCACATCTTTCCTTCTTGCTGCCATTCTTGGTCTCTACATCAGAAATAGACAGGGGCAGGCACTAAAGGAAATGTTTTCACTATTCATAAATATAACTAGTAAGAGTTTACCACTGTCCAGCTGCACAATTCACATCAAGTAGTACTCTGGCTCAGAGATTAGCACTGCTGCCATGGATTTTTCCACCTTCTGACAACTAGGTTGAGTTCTTCACACCTGTAGGTTTCTTCCCACAGTTCAAAGACATGCAGGACAACAAGGTGCAGGGCTGAATGAACACAGCAGGCCAAGCAGCATCATAGGAGCAGAGAGGCTGACATTTCAGGCCTAGACCCTTCATCAGAAAGGGGGAGGGGAAGGGGGTTCTGAAATAAATAGGGAGAGAGTGGGAGGCAGATAGAAGATGGATAGAGGAGAGCATAGGTGGAGAGGAAACAAACAGGTCAAAGAGGCAGGGATGGGGCCAGTAAAGGTGAGTGTAGGTGGGCAGTTAGGGAGGGGATAGGTCAGTCCAGAGAGGACAGACAGGTCAAGGGGGTGGGATGAGGTTAGTCAGTAGGAGATGGGGATGGGAGGAGGAGATAGATGGGAGGAAGGGCAGGGACGAGCTGGACTGGTTTTGGGATGTGGTAGGGGGAGGGGAGATTTTGAAACTTGTGAAATCCACATTGATACCATTGGGCTGCAGGGTTTGAAACCCACATTGCCATCTTCTATCCACCTCCCACTCTCTCCCTATATTTCAGAACACCCTTCCCCTCCCCCTTTTCTGATGAAGGGTCTAGGCCCAAAACCTCAGCCTCTGCTCCTATGATGCTGCTTGGCCTGCTGTGTTCATCCAGCCCCTGCACCTTGTTGTCTCGGATTCACCAGCATCTGCAGTTCCTACTATCTCTGATTCAAAGACATGCAGGTTAAGTGGACTTGCGAAGCTAAATTGCCAAATGTCCAGCGATGCACACATTGGGTGGATGAGCCATGGGAAATACAGGGCTAGGACAGGGGGTGGGTCTGGGTGGGATGCTCTTGAGGTTCAGAGTAGATCCGATAGGTTGAACAGCCTGCTTCCACACTGTAGGGATTAGACAACCCACAACTAGAAATGTCCTGTCATGTTTTCTTTTAACATGTATTGAAATGGTTGGAAATTCAACATCAAGGGATCAGTTTCAAGGGGATATTAATAGGTCATTCAGCTCAAGTCTGCTCCAGCCTCAGATTATGGCTAATCCAATATTCCTCAACTCCATTTTCCTGCATCTTCCCTATAATCCTGACTCCTTTACTGGTTAAAGATCAGCCTATTGTTTGAAAGTGAGAACAAGAGGACAGTGCTATTTTCCAGTACTCTGGAAACCTTTGTGACTCTGCTAGCAGCTTCAACCCTCCACCAATGGGAAGCCTCACAAAACCCCTGGTATGGAAACCACTGATATTGCAAACAATCCCTTTAACAGCTAGAGCACAATGTAATAATTAAGTGTTCATAAGTTGCTCCACAAGTGATTTCAGTAAGACAAGCAAGTGTGAAGTCAAAATTGTCCCCAGCCTTCGAAAGGGATAAGCTACAAATAAATGCTCAGCCCTTCTGCAAACTGGAACTTGATCTTGCACAAGTATGAGGCTTGGAAGGCCACAGACAAGACACCAAGACACTTAATTGTGCTTATAGGCACCTGCTTTAAAGAACATTAGCAAACAGCAAGTCCTTAAACTGAGCCAAGAGAACAATAGATACTGCAAATCAGAATCAAAAACAGAAGTTGCTGGAACAGCTCAGGTCTGGCAGCATCTGATTAGAAAGTCAGTTAACATTACAGGTCTGGCGACCCTACCTCAGAACTAAAACTGCTGAGATTTTACAGCAACTTCTGCTCCTAGTTTAAATCCTTAAGGTGAACTGCTCTGCACATTGAGAGCCAGTTTTACTAAATTCTAGTGCAAAGTGAGTGCCCTTGAGTATTAACTAGTACACCAAAACCACCTTACTGACCTGGGGCAGAGACTAGCGGAGATTTCTCATTTTAATGCTATAATGGTGACAGCCTGCAGTCACAATCCATCCACTTGCGGTCGAGCTATACAAAGACTGCGGACGGCCATCAATAGAGCTGAAACACAAACAGACGAATGGTTAGAAAAACAAAGCCTCCGGGAGTTATAAGGGTGCTAATAAACGAGCGTTCAGTTCTCCAAGATGGATCTCCACATGGCGAATTCGGGAAATCGCAGCAAATTACTATCATCATGTTCACTCGGTCACACACACACACACACTACACGGAGGGGAAGGAGAATCCAGACCCGGGCCCAACAGACGCCGGCTCGGACAAAGCTCCCCAGTCCCGCACACCACGTTGTTCATACCGGACACGCCACCCTATTTCCTTACCCCACATGATGAGGTGAGGGTAGGCCTGGAGGCCCAAGGAGCGCCACTAACACCCACACAACTTGAATCAACCTGAGTCCAGCGGTAAAAAGGCAGAACAGCGCTTCCCGAGCCTTTATATAGCAGGTGGCCGACGTAAGTGACACGAACACCATGTGACGTCACGCCAAAGGGCGGGCCCGTATGTTCTGGTCATGTGATCCACTCGAAGTTCCTGATTGGTGGAAGGTTGGCCATCGGGCTGGTGCGGAGCGGGAAAACTCAGAAACTGGACCCAATGTAGGAGGCCATTTTGGCGATTGTTCGTGTGTTAACCTGAGTCTATACTCTTTGTCTTTTACCATCATGTTCCCTAATGGAAAGGTGGTAGTGTCACCTTTAAAAGCGCAAGTTGCTGTCCTGGGCTTGAATACCAGCACGGGCAGATGGTAAAAATTGAATTCAGTAAATATTTGTATAGGTAACCGTCTGACCTAAACATTCCCCATGTAGATTAGAAAGGTAGCAGGAACTGTAGATGCTGGAGAATCCGAGACAACAAGGTGCAGGGCTGGATGAACACAGCAGGCCAAGCAGCATCATAGGAGCAGAGAGGCTGACATTTCGGGCCTAGACCCTTCATCAGTAACCCTAACCCAGCGCCTATGATGCTGCTTGGCCTGCGTGTTCATCCAGCTCTGCACCTTGTCTCGGATTCTCCAGCATCTGCAGTTCCTACTATCTCTGATATAATTTTAACCCCACTGCGAAACTCTTCTAAGGATGCAAAGCCTGAAGAAGTTACCCTCCTCCCTCCGGACAAACCTCAGGGGATCTCTCTCCCACTGCAACTCTCTCGTCCTCTCTATCTTCTATCTGCCTCACCCTCTGTCCCTATTTATTTCAGAACCCCCTTTCCCCCCCCCCATTTCTGATGCAGGGTCTAGGCCCAAAACATCAGCCTTCCTGCTCCTGTGATGCTGCTTGGCCTGCTGTGTTCATCCAGCTCTGCACCTTGTTGTCTTAGATTACAAAAGTGCTGAGGAAAGGAAAACTGCCATAAATGTAGGAGCAATCGGCCACTCTGATATCGAATTCCATGTGTCGTGACCATTCCTCTGTCTTCATCATCTATTTCTTAAATATGCCACCCCTTGTGGGAGATTATGCCCTTTGGTGTTAGACTGCCTGACAAGGGATACAACTTTTTCACATACACGCTTTCGTGCTTTCTAAGAATCTTACATGCTTCAATAAGGTCAGGTCTCATTCTTCTAAACTGCAGAATATAACTCAAACCTAAAAAAATTCCTTCTATAACCAGGCTCAACCGAGTAAATGTTCACTGGACTGCATCCAATGCAAGTTAATCTCTGCTTGGATAAGGGTTCGGTAAGGGGATCAAATCTATTCACAGTATTTCAGCTATGGTCTGACCAGTGTATTGTTTTTGTAAAACCTCCCTAATTTTATACACCACTCTATTTGCCTTCCCTATTACTCAATAAACTTGGATGTTAGCTTTTATGATTCACGCAATCCAAATTCCTGTGCTGGTACTTTCTGCAGTCTTTGACTATTTAAATAATGTTCAGATACTGCATTCTTCCTACCAAAGTGCATAACTTCATATTTTTCCACATTATATCCCATCTGTCAGTTTTTACCCATTCATTTACCCTGTCTATATACCTCCGGAATTTGTCTGAACCAGCCTCGCACACCACTCAGCTGCAAAGTCCAAAAAACGAAGGCATGAGAAAATAGACCATCCATATTGGTCTAGGCAGTGGAAATCAGGCCCAACACTGCTGTCCCAGCAAAGCTGTCCTTACTACATCTTGTGCCGTAATTGTATGGTCTGTTCCATGAACAGGTAGTGACATACCAGAAGTGACAGAATTGTTATATGTTGAGGGGTTATCTTGAGAGTTCTCAACATTGATTCTGGGCCCATGAAGTCTTGTGGCATCAATTCAAACATGGGCATAGAAACTTTTTCCTATTAAAACCTGTCAACACTCTGCCAGACCCAATTTCCCTTGGCTGATGAGGCTATGCCTTCATGTTGATCCCTACTCCCTGAAGGTGGCAAGGGAGCAGAATGTTCTCTGGGTGTAGGACTTCAATGTCCATCATTAAAAGTTGCATAGTAGCACGATTACCGAGCTAGCTGAGTCTTAAAGGAGATAACTGCTCAATGGGGTCTTTGATAAATGGTGATGGAAAGAGAGAGAAAAATATAATTAACCTCATCCTCACCAATCTACCTGTCATGATACAATTATTGGTGGTTCTTAAGACACTCCTCAGTATTAACTTTTTCTGGCCCTTACACCTTGATACAACATTCCAACTACAGCCTAATCAGTGACTTATAAAAGGTATGATGGGATTATATAAAAGTCCCATACTGACTGAGGTTACATGAAAGACTCCTTCTCAATCTCTTCCCTCATCTGAGGCATGGTGACCCTCAGGTTAAACCGCAACCGGTCATCTCTCTCTAATGGTCTTGTAGGACTATGCAACTTTACATATAGGATAAAGTAAGTCACTGTTGTTCCAGAGGAACATAAGGCTGCTCTCTCATAAGAGAGACAGCTGGTGGTTGGAGTCACTGCACCTCAGCTGAGGAGAGAGGGTGAGAAGGACAGCCCTTTGTGAAATCCTCAGCCAGTGTAGGAATTGAAGGAATTGAATCCGTGCTGTGGGCATCACTCAGCATTGCAGACCAGTCATCCAAGCTAACTAACCCTCATTATATCAGATATACAGCACAGAAACGGGCCAATGAGCCCAAAGAGATTATGCCCGCTCTCCCCCAATAGCTAACAACATACTTTACTGCCTCATCTAGCTTCCCCTTAAATGCATGTAGTTTACACTATTCACTTCATATGGCAGACGGTTCCACATTCTTTCTACTCTAAGAGGTTTCTTCTCCACATTCTTTCTACTCTAAGAGGTTTCTTCTGAACTCCCTATTTGGTTAGATCTTTTAAAATTGACTTTCTCTAGTTTTGCTCTTCTCGATATGGAAACACTCTCCCTGTATGTATTACACAAAAATTATATAATTTGAAAGAGTTCCATTAGGTTACCAGAATTAGTGCAGGATTGGGTGTCTGAGGCAAACCTTCAGCCCTATCCCAATGATGCCACATTACCTCTTTACTTATCAACAGGGTGATTAGAAATTTAGTTAATACATGTTCATCATTTTGCATTGGTATTTGTCTGGTCGACTGTCCACAGCTCTTTGAGTCTGGTTCTGACATTTGTAGAAGAATTAAGGACTATACTTTTTCCAAAATGATTCAATTGAAACCACATAATAAATCAATAACTAACAATGCAACAGCTAGGGCACTAGGAATATTGGTGAAAGAAGCGATTATACTTAATACTTGAAGCTCTGGAGCATGCTTATTCAGATTTTGAAATTCAGATTTTTACACTGTGCTGTGCTGCCAACTCTCAACATACAGTAGTATCAGCAGACTGTAAAAGTGATCAAGACACATCTTTTGTGAAAATGCCCTTTTATTTTCTTATTTTGTTATCTCCAATACTATTAAGAGGAAGTTGAAATCAAAGCATCAAGGATAATAAGCATTTACAAAGTCCTCATTTCAGTCAGCATCAATAGTGTGGCCTGATAGTGGGAGAGGAAAAGCTGCAAATCTCAGTGACTGAGCAGCATTGTGAGTGGAAGAGCTCTACATGACCCAGGCTGACCCAGCTCCTATCATATTTTCTCCCTGGCTGCCTTTAAGGCCTCTCGAAAGCACAGTTCACAGTTGAAGGAGCAGCAGCATGCAACTAACAAAACTCAAAATCCTAAAGTACCCAAACATTTGAAGCAACAGTGTATAACTGACAACTGTATTTTCTTTAAAAAAAACAGCTTTTGCTGACCCCCAAAATTTGCTACCTGAGGTGATCCAAGTTTCACCTAGTAGTTTAATCAGCCTTGTAGTTCAACTTTCAGCCTGTCTGGCATAGAGGTACCTACCATATATCCTTTTCATAATACGGCGAACAGACCTAGACACAGTATTTGTAATGTCGTCTAACTAAAATGCATTGCAAATAGCACAAGAGCTTTATGGTCTTGCAAACATATCATTCAGTGATGTGCATACTTGTAATCTTGTGCCCTTTAGTTTTCTAAACACCACCATATTTTATGGCCAAAGTGAAAAGATTCATTGGACAATTTCCAAGTTTGCCCATTTATTGCAGTCTTCCTCAATATTGACTAACAATCCAATCTGGTGTCATTTGAAAAGCTAAAATTCTATGTTTGATTCCAAAGTCTGAACTGCTGATATGAATTGTGAAGCAACCCAGTACTGTTCATTGTTGACTACTGCCCATTATCTGCTGCTCTGAATAACTGTCCTGTAGGTTTGTTTTATATCTCGACTTCCTCGCTATTTATTTTACTTGTAACCCGTCCAATTTACCTTATTTATCCAACAAATGGTTATTTGCTGGAAATCAGAAACAAAAACAGAAACTGCTGGAAAAGCTCAGCAAGTCTGGCAGAAATCAGAGTTGACATTTCGAGTTCAGTGACCCTTCCTCAGAAATCGTTTTTCCAGCAATTTCTGTTTCTGGTGCTTATATTCTTTGAGCTTATTCATTAGCCGTTGTTGATTTTGAAAATCTGAAATAACATCTAACACATACATCAACGCATTCAAAAACAATTAAGTTTGATCAATTATTCCCCTCTGAAATCCACACTGAACATTTATTTACTCTTCTACTCCCTCCTCTGGTAAGAACTTCAATCTCCACCCATGCTCCAACTGATGGGATGGTTAAACATTCCCGCAACACCAAGACAAAGATTATTTAACTGAACCATCTCGTTTTTTGATCATTTCAAATTTCCAGCAGCCGCAGTTTGTTCTGCAAAAAATAAATTGCTGGAGAAACTCAGCAGATCTGCAAAGAGAAAGCAGTTAACCCGATCCCTCAAACACGCTTCAACGCCATACCTGCGGAGTTTCTCCAGAAACAGCATTCAATATCCTTATCAAACATCAAAAAAACACTGTACATTTTTTTTACTTTGTCAATTTCCTTCCCAAGTGCTTACTGGATGTCGTGTTGGAATCTTTCAGGTTTTAACCATATGTCGGAAACAGTACTTAATTGCAAAAACAAATTCTGAAGCACTGTTAAATGCTTCTAAAGTTTAAGACCTAGCTTATCATTAAGGATTCACTTATTCTTGAATGGACAAGGACCAAATTTCTGGCATATCTATTGGGTATCCAGTATGGCAAAAACTTTCAATGTGGAAGTACTGGTGTAACAGAGGACACACTCACAATCTAGGTTGCTGAAATTATAAACTTGTTCGCTATCACACATTAATAGACACTTTGAATGTTTAGTACTTTAAGAATTCGCTTTTGAATGTCACTACTGAATCTTTTACTTTCCTTTCAGACTTCAAATTCTAATAGCATTTCTATGGCATTTACCATTCCCTTATTCTCCCCAATCAAGTTAAACACTTAAGTATTTTTAAAACGTTCATCCAGGCCGATCTATAACCTCCTGAAGTCTATCTTACCACAATTTCATGGTTCATCATCTGAAACTTTCAAAATGGTGACCACTCCTTTACCCAAATTAACACTAAAAGGATGGTTCTATCTCACAAGGACACTATGGCAAAAAAACCATTTTACTTAATTCAATGTCAATGTTGCTTTGTGAAATGCTAACATATTTCATTTGTCCCAAAAGGTTTATTTGCTTACAAACCTACATGTGGCACATAACCAATCTCCCTTAAATGCCCTAAAAGTATTTGTACAAGTGTTATCCTAAGATAGTTGAGAAGAGGTTAAGTATGAGTAACGCAGTGAATTGTAGATTCCCTCTGCTTCCAAGATAATCTTACCTTTCCTAGGCAGAGATCATATTTCTTCATCACACTCATTCAAATCAAGCAGAATGGGTATATCAGCCAGGAACTGAATGGCAGAGCCAACTTAATAGGCCAAATAACCTAATTGTGCTCCTATATCTTAAGGTCTTATGTTGTGACATTGGCGGCTGCAGATGTTTCATGGCTCTTTCCATAAATACTGAGATGTTCTTCAAGTGTTATTGCTTCACTTCACTTAAAATAAATCATGATTGCATTTATCCTTACTACACTCAGGTAGTGACATTTCAGAATCTCACCACTCAAAGAATTTTTTTTAAACAACCACCTTAAGATTGGTGGAAGAATGGCAAACTGGAGGACACCAAAGGGAAATTTACTAAAATCCCGCAATATGGAAACCACCCATTAATTTTACATATGCAATTCCTACTTATATGGTTAGTGGCCCATATAAAATAATTAAATGTTCTTATAAATTGTTCCACAGAAATGATCTTGAAATTTCTAGGGTGTAAAGTCAGAATTATCACCGGCGTTCAAAAGGGACAAACCACAACTAAAAGCTCAGCTCTTCTGTAAACTGGAACTTGATCTTGCACAAGATTGAGACTTGAAAGGCCACAGCCAAGACACTTAATTGTGCTTCCTGGTAACCTTTTTAAAGAACAGCAACAAATAATAAATTCTTAAAGTGAATGGCTGAGCAGTTTAGAAGGAAACCAGTTAGAATAATAATCATCCAGCTAAACTAAATTCAAATCCAAGCTGAATAGGCTAGGGCAATTTTCCCTGGGGCCTTGGAAGATAAGGCATGACCTTATAGATGGTTATAAAATCATGAGGGACACGATAGGGGGTATGGTCAGAGTCTTTTCTCCAGAGTAGTGGAGCCCTAAACTAAAGGGCACAGGTTTAAGGTGAGAGGGGAAAAGGTTTACAAGGGACACAAGGGGCACCTTTTTCACGCAGAGGGTGGTGCATGCATGGAATGAGATGCTGAAGGAAGTGTGGAGGCTGGTACAACTGTAACATTTAAAAAGCATCTGGATGGGTATACAGGGATATGGGCCAGATGCTGGCAAATGGGACTAGATTAGAGTAAACCAGCTGGTCGGCCAGGACATGTTGGACTGATAGGTCTGTTTCTGTGCTGTACATCTCTATAACTCCAAGTAGGAGTTCTTGATTCATTATTGCCTATCTTTCTGCTTGCACACTAAGTTACTCGTGAACAAGTATGTGTGGTGGGATATTTGAGCCAGGAGTCACAAACTGCATACACAAAAGAGAAGGATTTGCATTTCATAATCTTTTACATAAGACAACAAAATTGGGTGAGAAATGGTTTATTAATCACATTTTCCTTAGAATATATGTTTATTTGCCCTTCTTGGCTCTGATCTTCCTCAGGTAGAATTCCAGCTCCTTTCCTTCAAGAACGTAGCCATCAGCTCTGCCACACTGGCCAGGTCTTGAAGCTATACAAGCTGCAAAAGAAGAATATTACCTCTTATAGCAGACTGACCATTTCAATTCAAAAATGAACTGGGTACACAATTCAACAGTTGTCTCCATACACACATAGCCATTCAAATACAAACAGCAGGTGGGGAAGTGTGGGGCAATTATTATAACTGATACTGCTCTGACACATCAGCCAGAACAATACACAGCTTTTTATTCATTATGTTATAAGATTATCAAATACTGAAACTGTACACAATTTGTCCTCCCATTCTTAACCCAGGATGATGCCAACTGTAGTACTTTTAAATTTACTTGATAAGAGCCAACAGCAAATCAGAGATAAAGGCAAGGGCTTCCATTTTATGTATGGTTTGGATCCAAACTCCAGTCACTTTGCCTTCAATGTATCACCAGAACATTAAAAGCAAGGTGGTCCATGAAGCCATCAAGGATTTCTACTTAAAGACTCATCCAATGGAAGGGAAGAGCCAACACAGGTTTTATCATCTAGACTGATGCTCAAGATACAAAGGCCTCAAAATGAACAAATAATTAACAACTCTAGTTATAGAGTCATAGTGATGTACAGCACGGAAACAGACCCTTCAGTACTACTTGTCCATGCCGACCAGATATCCTAAATTAATCTAGTCCCATTTGCAAGCATTTGGCCCATATCCCTCTAAAGCCTTTCTATTCATGTACCATCCAGATGCCTTCTAAATATTCTAATTGTACCAGCCTCCACCATCACCTCTGGCAGCTCATTCCATGCACACACCTCCTTCTGCATGAAAATGTTGCTCCTTAGATCCCTTTTAAATGTTTCCCTTCTCACCTTAAACCTATGGCCTCTAGTTTTGGACTTGCCCACCCCACAAAAAAGACCATGGCCAACACCCTATCCATGCCCCTCTATAAAGGTCACCAGTCAACCTCTAGAGCCATTGGTCATGCTGGGTTACAGACCAAGGAAACAAACAGCTCTCTAGTTATTACACAAGTAATTGACTATATTTTCACAGCATAACAGCCAAATTTATACCATCCTTCATCTGACAACGTGCACTCATGCTTTCAAGTGACATTTTATCACCTTCCGATTGCTCTCCTCAAAGGGTGAATGGCTAACTGGACACTGGGAACCAGTCTTGCAATAAAAAACCATTAGAGAAGTCTCAACAGCCAATTTTAATACAAGCCCTGGTGCATTCTTTCATAGGCCAAGTAAATTCACCAGAAAAAGATCATGAAATAAAAGCAGAAATTACTGGCACCACCTGTGGAGAGAAATCAAGAGTTAACGTTGAGTCCAGTGGCCCGTTTTAGGTTCAGATCTTCAGTACCTGCAGCTCCACGTTTTACTTTGGAGAATGATCAGGTTTCAGAATCTTTCCAAAACCCAGGAACTTCTCTGCGAAGAATTAGGTACAAATAACAGGATCTTTCTACATACCGAGCAGTTTTCCCTGCTGGAATTGTTCTTCAAGCAGTGGGCTGATTTTTGCATTCTTTCTGCGATCATCATATTTCTTCTGAATTTTCTTTGACCTCTTCTTGTTCAGAATTTCTTCCTCTTCAGGGGTCTGAAACAGAAGTGGTAAAATTATATTACAAGAAATGGGAAGTATATTTTTTAAAAAAATCTAGAAAATCTCAACTCAGCTGACAGTATGAACCATGAGTTGGTCTAACACAACTAAAAACTAGTTGAGTACCATGATCACAGAATTTACGGATCATGTTTTACATTTGGACTAGCTAAGAACAAGAGTAGGTCATTCAAGCCTGCTCCGTCATTCAATAAGACTATAGTTGATCTATCAGATCAACTCCACATTCCCACCTAGCCCAATAAACGTTCATCCCACTGCTTCCCAAGAATCTAACTATACCTGCCTTAAAAGTTATCAAAGATGCTTTTCCTCAAATGGCAGTGGGAGCAGAGCTCCAAAGATTAATACCCCTCAAAAAATTCAATTTCATCTGTCATAAGTGAACGAGTCCTTATTTTTACATCAGTGGCCTCTCATCCTAGATTCACCCAAAAGAGGAAACATCCACTTCACATCCACCTTAAGGATCTAACATGTTTCAATCAAATCCCTCTTCAAAACTCCAATGAATAGCCAGTGCAACCTTTCCTCATAAGACAACCCAGCACGTCCTGGTATTAGTCCACTAAACCTTTTCTAAGGGATAAACTAAAACCCACATACACACTACATTTAAACATCATTTGTGGTTTACCCCTCAGCACTCATCTGCTAATGGCATTGTTATGCTCCAGACAACCTCGCTGAAAACAGTTTATCTGTTAATTCAAAATAATTTGAAATTAATTATCTAGCTCTAAATTTATACTCTGCTGTTTTGAAGAAAATGGTAATTACAGAAAACTGCAAAAGGAGCAATTATCATGCAATGTCTGATTGAAGGACATTAGCATTTTTATTATTTATTTATTATTTGTATTAGCATTTCTACCAAATATAAAATGATATTTTTCAAAGGTAGCAAGCTACATAATAAAATATGTTCTAATTATCAAGATTTGCTGAAAACCCAACCACCAAAATCCCCAGCAGGTACTGTACTACAAAGAATAAAAGCAAAAACCGGGATGCAAGAAACTGGAAATTCAATAGAATTGCCGAAAATAGTGCAGGGAATTCCTGGAAATACCCAGGAGTACCAGGGGATACCAGTTCTGGTTGAAAATCTTTCATTTTTACTAAAAGAAGATTAGATTTTTAGAGCAGGTGGAAGTGCAGGAGCAAAACAAAAGATAGAGAGCTATGATGGCTGGAATGATTAAACAGAATCAGTCAGCGAAACAAACATAAGTTCAGAGAGGTGTAAATGGTTAGTGTTTTTGTCACATAGGAAGGAATCTGATAATTAGGAAAGGGGACCCATTGCAAGGCCCTTTGCCTTGTGCCATCATTGTTTTCTAATTGAGTTAAGTTTGCCCTCCACCCTATTCTTCCCTTCATCTGCAACTTCCCTGAAATTGCTGTAGCTTACTTCATCTGCAACATGAGTTCTGATGAATGGTACCAACCTTGCTTTCTCTCTCCACAGAAGCTGTAGGTTTGTGGAGTGTTTCTGGCACTCTAGGTTTTACTTTATTGAGAAGGTATTGGCAGCAAAGGTGCCTAATCCTACAGAATAGAAATGAATGTTGTAGTTGTTTAACTCAACCAAACAGGTGTTCCTCATACTGTTGCATGTGTACTTTGTTTTTATTGAGAGGTCACATTTAAGGACTTCTCTTATTGGGTACACAGTGGCTCAGTGGTTAGCACTACTACCTCACAGCGCCAGGGACCTCGGTTCAATTCCACCCTCGGGCGACTGTCTGTGTGGAGTTTGCATATTCTCCCTGTGTCTGCGTGGGTTTCCTCCAGGTGATCCGGTTTCCTCCCACAGTCCAAAGATGTGCAGGCTAGGTGGATTGGCCATGCTAAATTGCATGAAGTGTTCAGGGATGTGTAAATTAGGTGAGTTATAGGGGGACGGGTCTGGGGAAATGCTCTGATGGTCGCTGTGGACTTGTTGGGCTGAAGGACCTGTTTCCACACTACAGGGATTCTATGATATATACGCCATGTTGTGATTCTGCCCATTAGTTAGTCTGCTGTGGGTTCATAAAGCTGCACACGAGATCAGTCGGTTGCTGAAAGGTTTGCTTCATTATTTATATTCTGCTGTTTCAAATAAACTAATCCAT